CTCTGGTGTTTGCCTGCCATTTATACAAATTCCCGTCGCACAGTTCATATTTCACCTGAAGATGATCCTGGTTTAGATGAAGAGGTAAACGAGTTTGAAAATAATATCAGAGCTTTCACTGCAGTCTGTGTTTGCATAAACTATACCCGAGCACTCGTGATGGATTTGTAGGTTATCAGCACTTTAAGCTTTACGAGCTGAAAGATAATTCACGTCTGTATTAAAGGGAAAATTGTTGCCTTTTGGTTCTTGTTGTTGGTTTTTTGGAATTCGTGGCCAGTCTGGACAGGTTTTAGGAGCAGGCTTTTAAGTTTAATGGAAAGTCTGCTCAGCTGCTGACCTGCTTGCTGCCATTTTTGTCCCACCGGCGTTTATATCTGTTTTTATGAGTGTAGAAATCGCTCCTCCTGCCCTGCAGTTGTTTCTCTGCTCGACCTCTTTTCCTGCTCTCCTCCCTCAAAACAAACCTTCCGCTACGCTCCCTCCCATCCTCATCCAGATACGCTTCTTCCTCCTTATCGCCTCTCTTCGTCCTCATAACCAAGCTTTGCTCTCCCCTCCCACCTTTCTCGTTCCGTTCGCCCTCCCTCTCTCTCTTCGGTGGCAAATCCGTTTGATGTGCTACGCGTGTGCCTGCGTGCTCGGTGCGGACACACGCATGCACGCGCACACCTATGCAGCGCTGCTGTCGAAGCGTCACATGACCCAGCTACCCAATCCGAGACGCGGTTGCTCAATCGGCCAAACATCTGCCTCGGCTGTCTCAGCCAATCGTCGTGGCTGTTAATGCTCGCGCCTCTCAGCGCTCGCTGTTGGTTTGTGTGTTTTGTCGTCGGCCTGTGCGAGAGGAAGTGTGGCTTTCCTGTCAGGGGAGGGTCCTGGATTAACTCGGCTCAGACCCAACGCTTAGCTGATAACTGCTGCTGAAGCCCCGCTAACAGTCTGGAGGCTGCTGGGGTTTACGTTGGCACACCGCAGTGGGGAGGAAAAGGGAGGAAATTGTTTTGTTTGTCTGTGGTGCTGAAGGAGGAGGAGGAGGAATGTAACTTCAGCTGAGCTGGCGGTTTGTAGCTGTGGGGAAAACAGTGACGGAGGCAGAGAAAGCGAGCTTGCACTCTGCTAAATGGACTGAGAGATGTACTGGCTTATTGCAGCATGTCTGTTGGAGCACAGCACCCAGTAAGTAACAGCACACAGACGCTGCACCAGAGCGAGGGACGAAGCGACGCGGCTGCAGCGCCACTGGGACAGCAGCGTTTTTAAAGTGGGTCACGCTGCGTGGAAAGACAAATAGACAAGGGAGGGAGGGGGCAGTGTTGTTTGTAAAGTCTGCTCTGTGGGTGTGGGGGGCGGGGTGGGTTGGTTTTTTTTCTTTTTTGCCTTAATTTAACTCTGGAGGCTAAATGTGCCTGCTGCCGTGTCACAGGGATGGACAGTCTGTGCGCTGCAAACGAGTGGGAGTGGAAGTCTGGGAATATTTCCAGAACAGGGCAGAAGTGAGCACTACAGTGGCTGTTTATAAACCAACCACCTGCCTCTGACTTTCTGCTTCTAAAAAAGAAAGAAAAACACTTCCCCTGTGTCATGTGTGTTGTCAAAACAGGACACATCATTTGCTCAGTGGTAACGGGGCAGCGGGCTGTTCTGCAGGT